GGCCGACCTGCAGCTAGGGGGAAGCGACGCGGAGCACTTCCGTCGCCGGGATACCATGGCAACGGGAGGAGCAGCGGGAGAGGACCACTGCGCCGCTGATCCTTAGCCGCGCCCCCTTCACTCGCCACGCCCCAGTGACTGTCTGTCTCTGTCTCGCTGTGTGCGCGCGCGCTCCCGAACCTTGTGTGCTCGCGCTGCGCGCGCCGACTCCAAACTGTGCTCCAGCGTCCGGCGCTAAGGACTACGTGTGCGCCTGCGCATTTGGTCGCCTGGCCTGCTGCCTTCTCCATGTGTGTGCACGCCCTGCCTGTGATCGTCCTCTTGCCCTTTGGAGTCATGCGCATGCACAGGCTTACCTGTCCCATGTCTGAATCTGCCCACTCCTGCCTGCCCCATCGCCTGTGTGGGCGTCTGCCTTTGTGCGTGCACCTGCCCTGACTTGTGGCCCCACCCCACTCAGTCTTTCCCCCATGACGCAGGAGCACACCTGCAGGCTCACACTCACGCAGGGCAGGTAATAGCAGATAATCACAGGGACAGACAAGCAAACACACAGGGCAGGTGGGCACATGCATGTACATGGACACAGCTATGACAGTGGCAGGTGGTTACACAAAGTCAGGCACAAAGAAGCCACTGGAGTTTCAATCTTTGAAATGCACAGGCACTCCTGCTGGGGCTCTCATACATTTCAAAGGTGGAACACAGCCCAGCACTTCCACCTTTGAAATGTAGCAGCAATGAGCTACATTTCAAAGCGGAAGCACCCTTATCAACTAATTGAATAGTCGATGGAAATCCCATCAATGATTCAATTAGTTTATTAATCTAATTTTATCATTCCTACTCATTCATGGGTTCATGAATTCATGGATTCATTCCTGTTCATTCATGGGCTGCACATCCACTGTAAAATATCATCGTTGGTAGCAAAACTTCTCAAATAAATTAGAAAGAAATAGAAATCAACACTAATTGGCCACATAGTTGAAGCCTCTTATTTGAGTTTGCTAACGGTGAAATGTATTCACTTACTTCGTTTACCCTTCATTGGGCTGATTAGTGAAATGTAGTTGCCTAAAAGAAAATACCATCTTCCTGGAATAACGTAGTCTGAATTAGGAAAGGGCAATCAAATTGTAATTGTTCTAAAATCCAAATCTTACTGCAGTAAGTTGTCCCATATTTTGAAGGGC